TGTTGACAACAGCTGAGGGAGGAAGCACTGTTTTACCCACTAGGATGAAGAGTTTGAGGTTAAGGGTGAGAGAAGGCGGCCACATAACTCCTCAGTAGTTTGTGTTGCTCTAAATTCCTTCGTCACAACAACACGCAAGCGGTTCATGCACAAATTCCTTCCTTAAAATAAAATCTTCAATATTTATATAAAAAATCTTCATTTAAATCCCACCGTGATGAAAATATATTCGTTAAATTCATTTTTATTTGGTACACTTAACGTTTGTCCTCACGAGAAAAATATGGGTGCGTCTAACACTCTAGCAAGCTGGTATATATTTAAGTAAACGAACAAAGATGGTTGGTAAAATAACAGCTAAATTGTACTGAGAGTTTACCGGAAATGGCTGCTTCCATTCGTCTCAAGACAAGGAGGTGAATTTAACTTAAAAATCTTCTTGAGTCCGGATCCAGGCTCTTGCGGACTTAACCTCAGTGAATCCGGACCCAGGCTCTTACGGACTTAACCTCAGTGAATCCGGACCCAGGCTCTTACGGACTTAACCTCAGTGAATCCGGACCCAGGCTCTTACGGACTTAACCTCAGTTGAGTCCGGATCCAGGCTCTTGCGGACTTAACCTCAGTGAATCCGGACCCAGGCTCTTACGGACTTAACCTCAGTGAATCCGGACCCAGGCTCTTACGGACTTAACCTCAGTGAATCCGGACCCAGGCTCTTACGGACTTAACCTCAGTGAATCCGGACCCAGGCTCTTACGGACTTAACCTCAGTGAATCCGGACCCAGGCTCTTACGGACTTAACCTCAGTGAATCCGGACTTCGTTAAAGAGTCCGAGGTAGTTAAGACAACCTCAGTGATAACTCAGTATGTAAATGACTCCAGCCACAATTTACAAGTAAACCACAAATTTGTCTTACATGTTTACAGAGAACGTAAAATATCCTGGTCCCAAAATATTTATAAAAGAAAACTGGCAACTGAACACAATTTCATAAATATTTATAACTATCATCATAATGCGCAGAACTAAGACACCTGGCAAACTTCAACGTAATACAAACAGTTTATATGCACAGTATATCTTCAAGCGCTCGTTACACTGACCCTCTCAACTCCCGCCCATTTGTCAGAGTTGAGAGGAAACTACTGCAACACACCACCCTCGAGGAACACCTGCTGCTACTACCGTCAGTTTGATGTTCGACGCCACGTTTCACAACCGCATCCTGCCCGTACTAGGCACTGACCGCTATAAAGAACAGTCCCATCCCAACGACTGTAAAACTCATCAGCATCTTGTTAATTACTCTTGTGTTTACTTCTTGATTATCTTATTTCTGTACTATAACTGTGCTGAAATTCCTAGTTAAATTAACCGCTTTATCGATGCTGTATTTTTCAATAACCCATTAATTATTATTTTTAAGTTACTATTATTATTATTAGTAGTAGTAGTAGTATTAACCAGTACTCAATATTATGATTAACGGCATAAACTCCCTGATTCACAGTCAATATATCGATGTACTCAGACCAACAACGGAAGTTAACAGGTTTAAATTCACTCTGATTCTGTTTTTGTCTTTTATTATTATTTTTTTTCCTGCGGGACACACACACACACACACACACACACACACACACACACACACACACCGGCCACCACACCGTTAATTCCCTCAACATTATAACACGTCCGCGCTGCCCCTCCCCTCCCCCTCTCCCACACATTCCTCAGTCCAGACCGGGCCGAGTAGATGAGGAGAGATGGACAAGCCTGTGGAAGGGAAGGGGAGGGGGGGGGGGTAATGACACAAACAAACAAACAAAGTACAAAAGACACTTCACCATAACCTACATATACAGGGTGTGTCAGGAAAATGCAAACACTCACTACCATATAGATTTACATGGAGATAGTCTTCTAGTCTTAGTGTGAATGTTACCTTACAACATTATCCACCCCCCTCCCCACTACTTGTTGATGTCCAAGGTCAATGTTGCTCTTGTTGATTAGAAACATTCACACGGTCACCAATCTCAAAGGTCGTGTACTTTTTTGACACACCCTACTGTATATGTAGACAAGATTACACATGTATATTGCAATTTTCTGTATAACTGCCAATGTTAAAATTCAGTCATATTATCTTACCTGGCGACACACACACACACACACACACACACACACACACACACACACACACACACACACACACATACACACACACACACACATCCTTTTGTCCACAGTTAACACGGATTTTTTTGTGACGGAGACAGACAGACAGACAGACAGACACATCCTTGTCCAGAAGAAGAACAGTTAATACAGTGGATGATACTGACAGTCCTGTTCTCTACCGTAGGTTAGACAGAAGGACATCACAACAACACATCATAACAACAACACATCATAACCACAACACATCATAACAACAACACATCATAACCACAACACATCATAACCACAACACATCACAACACATCATAACAACAACACATCATAACCACAACACATCATAACCACAACACATCACAACACATCATCACAACAACACAACACATCACAACATTAACACAAATCACATCATAAAACAAACACATAAAACATTTCACATCATAACAAAACAACAACATACCACAACAACATCAGCACATAACATCACATCACAACATTGACGTCCCGTAATGTGTGTGGGGGGGGGGAGGGCACCGTTTCAGTAGTGGATGTTAGAGAATGTTGTGACGGTCTGAGGCGGCCAGTCCACTTCTCCCCACACCTTCCTACTCGACCCACGCCCCTGCCATCCCTGTACCTGATAACCACACCCCTTATCTCCTACCCCCATCCATATCGGCTTATCACTTAACTCTCCACAGACACTTCAAACCCAAACAAGTTATAAGGAAAACAAGCACAGATAACAAGAACATTAACAAAAACACATCAGGAACAGCCACAGACGCGTCAATTACAACCACAGGAGCAAAGAGAACAAGCATGGACACTTTTAGAACAAGTACATGACCAGGCAAATACACTTGAGAATATGCACAGACGCGTTAACAACAGGACATAGACCAGGGGAGTCAAACTCATGGCCCGCGGGCCAAATGTGGCCCTTGGGATGGTCAGGTGTGGCCCGTGGGATGACGGTAAAATTTATCATCCCGTGAAATTATGAAAGAAATAGATATAATCATGTTTATTTAGTAGAATGAATTTGACATACTTAAGATCAGACAAACCCAAATGAGGTATTTCTGGTAAGCCAGGTAAGGCAATGTGTGAAGCTGTAAACTTCAATCCTGCACATATGTGATATAGCACTTGTGTTGGCCCTGAAGAGGGTCACTAAAATAAGAATTGGCCGTCGAAAGGTATTGAGTTTGACACCACTGACATAGACGATAGGTAGAGTTTAGGTCAAAAACTGATACAAGTGTAACAAGAGAAACTAAAGAGAAAGAAGAAATGAAGAGGAAATGGTTAAGAAATACAAGAACAGGAAGTAAAGGAAGAAATTAAATAAGAGAAACATGGGATTGGAGAAGAGAAAAAGGAAGAAGGTTAAAAAAAGTGCAGATAAATGAAACGAAAACGGAAGGAAGAACAAAATTAATAGAAGGAAGACGAAAATGAATAGGGAAGTAAGATAGGAAGAAGAGGAGGAGGATGATGAAGAGGAGGAGGATGAAGAGGTCAGGGGTGAAGTGGGGGTCAAAATACCTGAGTCCCTCTCCCCACCTCCCTCCCCTCTTCTACACCTCATTTACCTCTACACACCTGGTCTTTCACCTGTGTCTACGGTAATCACTCATCCAGAACACCTTTTAGCGTTATCGAGAGACGAGATGCCGTAAGGTTAGGTTAGGTTTTATAAATATTTTGGATAGAATAAACTAATGTGGATTTGTGAAGTGATTTTGTGCATACATCCACACTCACCCATACTCCACCTCTTCCTCCGCCTCCACACACCTCCACACTCAATTGACAGTAGTCTCTCAGTGACCCAGGAATAACCTAACCTAACGTACCCTAACCAAACTTAGGCTACTCCAAGCGGGGCAGTAGCATACTTTACAAAGAGCCTTATTATGCTACGATAAATTACTCTAAAACAATATTAGACAAAGTATGGTGACATGACTGGTGTATGGTGACATGGCTGAAGTATGGTGACATGGCTGAAGTATGGTGACATGACTGAAGTATGGTGACATGACTGAAGTATGGTGACATGACTGAAGTATGGTGACATGACTAAAGTATGGTGACATGACTAAAGTATGGTGACATGACTAAAGTATGGTGACATGACTGGTGTATGGTGACTCCTACAACATTCAGACAACGCTTGACCACACAGATACTCGGTTCACTGTACACACCTTACAAGCAGGTGTGCGGGAGGCAATGTTTTTTATCGTTCCCGCCTTATGCAATTATTTTTTTCTCAAATGTTTAAGATAAACTTTTGTAGTTGATTAATTATTATTCTGCATGTGTGAGAGAGAGAGAGAGAGAGAGAGAGAGAGAGAGAGAGAGAGAGAGTAGATTAATTTAAACAATTAGCATTGCAGCATATCTAGGCCGGAAACTAGTGTTTTATCAATTTCCATTAAATAATTTGCACTACGTCATAACGGTGTCACAAATTATACCTAATACACTGAGAGAGAGAGAGAGAGAGAGAGAGAGAGAGAGAGAGAGATACTATAGTTCCTTTATCCCAATATGGCTAGTCTCTTTCCTTCCTCTCCCTCTCTCTCCTTCCTTCACCTTCTTTCCCTTTTCCCTCTTTAGTTTCCATCTACGTTCCAGCCCTAACATCCCTTTCCTCCATCACCTTATCCCCCCATTTTTCACGAGTTTACCTTCATCTTTTCTATTCATTTATTCAATACTTTATTCGCATACATTCTAGTGTTGACATCAAGACATTCACACACACGAGAGAAATGAATAAAATGTATATTAGTACTTACTTCTTCCGGAGTTTGGTGTGGGCGTGGAGAAGAGGCGTGGCTTATAGAACCGTTGAAGTATGTCCGTATGGCTAGGGATGGGCGTGTAGGGGCTTGGGCGTGTGGCTCAGCATGGGCGCTGTTTGCCGCTTGAGCTCAGCTGGCGGTAAGGCGTGTAGCTGCTTCCGTCCGTCAACTCACTACCGTCTACCTCACTCAAGTTTAACTGTCCTTTCCACTCAAAACATCCAATTTTTCACTGTTCACTTTTATGGTTGTTTTAAATCACATCAAATTTCTAGATTTTTCAGAATTCTTCCAGCACCATTTTATCCTCATCACTGTATTTTCACCTTTAATTTGTGTAATACAAAATTATACTTAATTTCCTAGTGAATCACGTCATTAGCACCAAACTGCCATTATGAATTTGTCTGAATCACTAAACCATTCACGAGGGTTCAATAATCTAAACTTAAAAACACTTCATTTTTTAATCTCAGAGCTTCACTTCTATACGGGCTTCACTTTTATTCAATTAACCTTGCTTCTTTATCCAAAGGGCTTCACTCACTATTCTCTTTACAAGGCTTCATTCTTCTTTTTTTTCTACACCAGGTTTATCTTTTTCCTTTGTTCACACGGCTTCATTCTCCTCTCCTTTCCTTATTCCTCCTCGTCCCACTTGGCTTCATCCTTCACACACGCACTCTCTTTCCTTCCTCCCTTTTCTCTATCATCAAGACCGGTCCTTCACACCATCTTCCCATCCTAACAATTATTATTCATCCTCCTCCTGTCATTCTCGTTACGCTTCTTTTAACAACCACTTAATACTCCCTTAGACAGGACGGAACTCCACCATTACATAATTTAATTCCTGTTTTTTTTTGGTTCTTTTCCTCGTAAAATACTGCCACTATACCGTTGTCTAAATGTTTACATAATCTAAAATAAATGTTCAAAAGATTGTCAATACGGGAAGGTTTTAAAGGGGCGCACCAACTGACTGATACCAACACACAAATCTGGGCTCTCTGTCAGGGTGATATTGAGGCCGTTATCCAAAGAGCTTCCTGTCATGTTCTTTCAAACGTTCAACTTGCACCGCCACCTGCAAAGAGTGAAATAAAAATAATAATTGTGGAAGCCAAGATTTATTATTATTATTATTGAGAAGTGGGAGAGGTATACTGATGAATGGGTATAGTGATGAGGTGGTGAGGGAGGTGCAGTGAAGGAGAACAAATAAATGAGTGAGGCAACAAGTACTAAAAAGTTAATAAGCATTTTTGAAGTAACTAATATAAATGAGGGAACTAGTATGAGGTAACGAGTATAAGTGAAGCAGCTACTAACAAAATGAATGAGGTAACTAACATTGGTGAAGGTAGCTGTGTGTATTACTAGTGTACAGTATGAGTTAGGTACAGTAGAGGTCACTAACACAACCAGGATACTCCCAAGTTTGTACACCGGAAATTCAAGACTAAGGTGTTGCAACTGGTTGTGTGTAGGAGGGTGTACAGTATGTGTGTGGGGGGGAGAGGGGTGACAACCGTTCATCTCCCTCCCCTAGTGGCTCCTCCCCTCCCCTACCACCACCGCAACTCACTTTACTCACTCCCTTGTTTTGCATTACCTCCTTAATTTTAAGCCAAAAATTCCACTGAAATTTCAAAATAACATCCATCCAATACCGCCTAAATATAAGGTAAAGTCAGATCTATTTGCTTCACTAACATTGTCTTTACCCCAAAATTATGTTTTTTGTCACATGGTGGCAGCAGTGAAGTCGGCTGGGCCGCCCACAAGGTTGAGGAGGAGCAGGACGTCCTTCACACTACTGAAGGAGACGCTGTTTACATGGGTTATGACACTCCTCTTGCCCCAAGGTACGGAGGCGTCACGGTAGTAACCACAATGGGAGGGATGAGATGTACTGGCTGTAGTCACTTCACGAGACTTCACACCAGAGTTCTCCTCGGTGTATTCTTACTAGACAGCCGGGCATGTCAGAAGTAATGTAAACAGCCTTAGCACGCATGACACTTGATCCTGGCATGAAGGCACAACAAGCTGGAGGCTGCCACATACAACACAAGCTAAATTCTACCCTGTAACTGTTTGGTTGGTTGGTGTTTGCTGTTATAGATGATAATATTTAATACAAACTTTGTGTACCAGACTCCCAAGCAAAATATAATAATTCCGAAATCTTGGTATCGTATCAACAGTAAATATATTGCAAAGTTGCTTCACTTTGAATTCCTTACAGGACAAGTATAATTTGCTTAAATGAACGAGAAAATATTATTCAGCTAATTTTCTTTTAGTTGGTTACAAATAACAAACTTGATACATGGCTACCACTCCTGAGTCGTCTCTTTGTATACAAGATAGTTGCTAACGTCACAAGATACCCATTAGTCCCTCTGCCACTTGCCACACGTCTACTACGCTGTTCCACATGACTCGCAAATATCTTGGAACAATGTAGACCGAGGCATCTCCCAGACACCGTTACTTTGATGGCGCCTCTGTTCTTAACCATTTTTTTCTAACTGGTTCACCGTGTGCGTATAATCACGGTCACAAGCGCTTGATCACATTAAACAAACAAGTCATCATAAGAAACCATCATAGATTATACCAACTTTTCATTACAACCAGAGATAATGAACCACAGATAATGAAACACTTTATAACTTGTACACTGGTTAACATACGATACACAACGGATATATTGCTGTGTTAGACCATTTTCGTATCGTGTAATTGGAAACGTTAGTCGCAAATACTTTATGTAAACCTTGCCAAATACATTTACGTGACGAACATTAACCAATATATTCTATTCGTGAAGAAAATGATGATTACTCTTACAGTAATATAATATAACAAGTTTGTAATGTTAGGTTCTGGAATAATTTAATAATGCTAGTTTAATTCAATGTAAATTGTTGGTTTACTGTGGCCTGTTAAGAGTATCAGGTAATTTATTCACTAACACATCAAGGTAAACAAGTTATACTCCTCCCTCTATAGAAAATACTTAATGGTTGTATCCCAATAACCATCAATAACGCTTCACAGTCAGGTTAAAGCTTCGCGTGTTTGTCTTATTTATAATCCTGAACACTTACCACAAGGTAGGCTGACGGGTGTGCCAGAAACGTTGGCCACAGAGGTTGACACTTCACCACTCGCCTCCACTAAACACATCACTTAACCACTGTCTTCACGTTACTATTCACTGTTTTGTTACTACAATATAACTGATGTATATGGTGCATATCTACACACCATAATATTGTTAGGGGTCACATTCCACAGAGACAGTAATTAGTTTACTCACTGGAAAATGTATATAGAAACACATCACTGAACGTCACACACACCCCGAAGCTGTTACTTCCCCGGGACGGTCATATTTTCTGCCTTTTCCTTCATTCACACTCAGTCAGGATCCACTTCTTGGGCACTTTAACAAGTAGTAACTGCTGATGGTGTTTGTGAGGGTCTCTTAAGAGTTAGGAAGTGGAGGAAGAACGCGGAGCGCGTGTCAGTGCAAAACATTGACGAGGTTCCCCCTACCTCGTGCACCCTCCCTCCTTCCTCTACCTGTTCCCCCACTCACAGTTGCCACCAAAGTTACCACAAGTCTTATGTATTCTATTTTTTTCTGTTTCACACATATGTTGTCTCATAAATTCATTAGAACACCGAAGAAATAGTCTTAGGTGACGCTCCTTCTGAGTGTTTTGTTTCCTGAATGAATGTCAGTTTTAACTGTCTTAAATGGCAGTGGACAACTGAGGTGGGAGCCACGAACTGCAACTGGACAACCTCTTAAACGTCGGGCATTCCTCAAGGTCTTCACCTCATACCCTCTCACTTTTACCTCCATCCATTTGCTTCTCGCAGGTACATTTACCACTAATCCTTTATCACCGACAAGGGATTGTAACTTAGGGGTAAATTGCTTTGTTTTTCCATTTCATATTGACCGACGTGGTAACCCATCTCAGAAATGAAACCTTAATCTATATATTTTCACATTGCTTCGCCCGTTTTCAGTCTTGTAACTCAAGTAAGAATAACATTTACCGTTTTCTGTAATTCTATGTAAATAAAACTAACCTGGCCCTTGTTATTATCTTTCTTCAGACAATAAATGTAAATAGCAATAGCTCGATTTAAACTATTAAGAATATAGTGAATAACATGTTTGGGAAAATAAACTAAGCCTGAGAACGAACCACTAACTACAGTACCATTCATTCACGCAATTAGAGTCAACCCACGACCACATGTAACAAAATAAGCATCTTGAACATATATTTATTCAAGCCTGACAACGTTCTCTACTTCTTCTCAATCTTAGGATGTGATACTGCGCCATTAAAGACCATAAAGGAGTAGAGAGAGGGAGTAATAACACGGGATAGGAGATGGGAAAGACGTGGGTAGTTGGGTTATGGCTTAGGGGATGGGGAGGGGAAGGGAGGAAGGATTCGTGGGATATACATGGCAACTGTATACGTACTATTATGGTTGGCCCAGGGTGTGGCAGGCATACTGTAGTGCTGCCACAGTAGGTTGCTGATGCGTGATATAACAAAATATAAAAAAAACGACCCCATTACAATGCACAAACACTAATTATGAGACAGGAATGCGGAAACTTTATCGGCTTTAAAAAAAATAGGCTGGCTAGTTATCACTCGGATAATCTCCAAATATAGTCATCCACGGATATGAAGCGCGTATATATGGGTGTATGTCGACATTTAACTATTTGAAGCTGGCAGGTCAATATAAACTGTAGGTCAGGCAACCTAAGCCACTGAAAAACGTAAGCCATTTTCTGATAATGCTTTTACTTTACTTTTTTACTTTTATCCTCTTCACCACTGATCGGCGCGTTAGCCGCCCGGGCGATCGGTCACGTCTCTGTCACGCACTGTTGGCAAATACTGGGCATGCACCGGCGAGGTACTGGATAGTAAACAAAGTGGCCAGATGCCTTCCAACACTTCAATCTTAAATGTTATTCTTATTATCACAGATATATTTCATCAACTGTATGAACAAATGAAAGGTCTCGCGCATGAGGGGGGGGAGGGGGTTACTGTATAACAACTTATACTCATAAATATCATTTAGCAGAAAGTATAAAAACACTGGTGGTTGTAATAAACTCTGGGTATAATAAAAAAAATCGTCTGTGCTGGTATTTTGAGCATGTGATAGTGGTGTACTGTACCGTTATTGAGTATAGCTGCTGTCCGGTCAGTTGATCCAAGTACGATTCCAAGCATGGCAACTGTATTTTTCACATATTTAAACTCTGTAGTCAGAAGACGAACACCTGTGGTAATCTGCAATAGTGACGTTCACTGAGTGTCAGGCCACAAGGCCTGTTTTCGTTCGATAACATAATAGTGCACTCACGACGAGGATGGGATTCGAACCCACGCAGGGAGACCCTATTGGATTAGCAGTCCAACGCCTTAACCACTCGGCCACCTCGTCTTGGTATATTAATGTAATACGTGAAAAAAATGAATTTTGCTGCCTTTAAAAATCAATGACAGTAACTGTGTCGGTTGTTAAAGCTTCTCCTGTCTATGAAATGTGTAAATATGTATTGGGCGCTAGTGTCAGTATGTTTGTTTACACATGCATATACAAAATCACGTATAAACACACATTTACGCCCACTGTTATTCGTTGTTCTTCTCTATACTTTATTGCATGAATGTCTGCTACCGTATAGGGTTGACCATAATTACAATGGTGTAATCTCAACGTGGGTGGATCAAAGCTTTTGTACAACTATTTAGTTGAACATCAAGGTGACCGGTCATGGGTCAGTACATGTCCTCTCCAAATGGGGTCCTGGATATGTACACGTTGTGGACACCTGGTACAAATTACTGAATATATATTTGACATGCCAAACAAGGCTAAGGAATCACAGTAGGCGGTCGATGTTTGCAGAGCCACAAAGGGTCCAGATATTGAAATATCTTTGACTAAAAAACGTTAGATATTGTTTTATAATTGCTTATGTTACTTTTGCTCAACCATTGTTAGTTTATAATATATATATATATATATATATATATATATATATATATATATATATATATAATATATATATATATATATATATATATATATATATATATATATATATATATATAATTTCATGTAGATCCACAATGGAAATGTAGATAAGATAAATCTTGATAAAATCACACAGGGAAAAGGGAAACAATGGAGAACCTTAGCTTTCGTCTTTATTCAAGACATCTTCTGAGGCAACTGAATTACAAGGACTGAGAGAGAGCTTACCGTATGCACACAGGGTGACCTTACAAAACACGAGGTCAGGTCAAAAAACATGACATCCACTAAACCACACAACAAACATAAGAAGAGATAATAAGAACGGGCGACACAACTAGACATGTCACGTTCCACCTGGCCAACACGAATACAAACTCCAGTTCTTGCATCTTGTTTGCAATATTTTCTGCCTCTCATATAGTTTCTCCCTTTTGTGATTGGTATTCTGGTATAATTTCCAATGCATCCACAATCATTGAGTAAGACCCCAGAATTGTACTTGTTGTCACTGCATGTGCCTCCCAGCAAATATCAGAGAGATTTCAACACACGATCATTGCCCAAATAAATTTTAAGAACTGTCCATCGGTGTGCTGAGGCAGAGAAAAATGTAAAAAGTAACTGGACTGTTGAGAAAAAATTTACTGCCACCAGACAACAGCACTGCAGCCAACAAGACTGAGTGTGCAGCACAAGGTATGAATATGGCATATTTGTTCTGTTCTAAAACCTTCTGTAGCAATTCTTTATAACGTTCTGACATGTTGGCAGCGTTGTCATAAGATTGACCTCTGCACTTTGAGAAATCTATTTTGCAAACTTGGCACAGACAATGCAGTACAGTACTTGATTTGTTTCTTCTTCACCCGTGTGGATTATCAAAATGAGGAATGTTATAAATCGTTCAACTGGGAGACACATATCTTAGTATAATAGTCAATTGATCAATATATGAAAAATCAGGTTTAGAGTCAAGAGATAAACTGAAGTACCCAGCAGTACTTATTTCATCCACAATAGCTGAACGAACTTTGTCACCATCAGACCAATGACTTCATGACATACGGTCTTGTACAGGTATGATGGGTTACCTTTGCCATCATCCCCATATTTTCAGATATGGTCAGCTAAAAATGGGTCAAACCGAGTCATAAACTCCAACCAAAGAAATTTCCATTCTGCAATGATCCAAATGTCTCACATGATCCCAAAGGCAGACCACAGCTGCAAGACATGTTGCCAGTATTCATGCTGTCCTTAAATATCTTCCAATTTTTGTGTCGATCCAAAGACCTGTCTTCGATTTAACCCTTTCACCTACGGGGTGGTTTTTGCTGTGGTACCCCCCACACGGGGATTTTAAGAAAATCAGAAAACACTATTATAGGTAATCTAAATTTTCCAAAAAATCTAGCAAAATTTTCTGAGGTGTCATATTTTGCTGTGCCACTCTCTCAGGACTGCCAGTCTTATAATGAGATAGAATCCATCTAGCCTCATAATTTTACTCGGTAGGTTTCACATTTTCTTTATTCTGTATATAACTTTTTATTATAAACTGCATCTTTCTATGTAACTTCACCAAATCATGGGTGCACACAGAGGGGAACATTACATTCAATGCACATGTAATACGTCATCTGGCTTGTGTTGGGGTGCAGTGAGGAGTGTGAACAGACGCTACATCGCCTGCGAGGTCGAGCTGTCTGGGGAAGGAGAGGAATGGGTGAGGGAAAATGGCAGCCTGATAAGCGCGAGGGACGCAGCCCTACTTGCCCAGTTGCTCTAACTCTTTGTGCACTGTATTTATCCATTATTTGGTGAATGACTGCTTTACTAAAATCAAGCAACGCTACATGTTTTCCAGTTTTGTGTACGTACAGATGGTATGCATTTAGGACAGACATATCTACAATGTGGATGAATAACTTCAAGTACCATCTTACAGTTCTGCGTACACACACTATGGAAGACAGAAGCATGTAATTTTTTTCTATTACAGTATTCTCATTTTTTTATTATAATCTACTACAGGGGCAAGTTTTTGGATGATGTCATCATCACGAACTCTCTTTTCTGTATGAATCATATGACATGGATGGACATAAGTCAACAAATGCACAGCTTTATCATCATTCCACTTTACACAGCCAATTCGATTACAGTGACGAGCAACCATTTCGCCAGGCATATCCTTCGAGTTGGCACATACTGTTCCACATGCATCTGATCTTCCTTCATTTAGGTACTGAAACAAAGTGGAGCTACTGTACCAATTATCACAATATAGTATATGTGATTTCTGCATGCAATCTTTCATGAGTGTTTTGATCACAGAGCCAGAAACACCCAGGTTCTCATCTCGTTCTATGGCAGTACTGTACTGTAGTTGCCCGTGTACACAATAAGTCAAGAATGTAGTCGGTTTTTACAACACATAATACAAACAATTTTACTCCATACCAATGCTGTTTTGACGGTATGTACTGCTGGAGGCCTAGGCTACTACGCCACAGCAATAAACTCTCATCAGTACAAAGGTCTTGATATGGAGTAAATATTTCTCTTTA